GAAGGGATTGCGGCGTGACCATCCCCCTGGGGGGTGATTTCTCACTTTTCCCCTCATTGTCTCTGTCTCTCTTTCTCTCTCTCAGATGAGCACACAGGCCCTAAGACAAAATCCTCTATTAAAAAAAAAGTGACTTGGGAACCAGCAGTTAGCGTAATGGCTATGTCGCTGGACTCCCATGCAGTCGACCACGGTTTGAGTCCCAGACCTGGTGTCTTAAACTCACGCCAGGTGTGTGTGCGTGCGTGCCCAAGATCCCGAGAGGAGAATGGAGGAGAAGGGATTGCGGCGTGACCATCCCCTCTGGGGAGGTGATTTCTTGCTTTCTGTCTCTATGTCTCTCTCTGTCTGTCTGGCGAGCGCACGCGCCCTGTAGCGAAAAAAAACCTCTCAAGAAAAAAAAAAGAAAGAAAAAAAAAAGTGACTTAACATTATTTTTATTATTTTCTTTTTAAATTTGCTCTAGGAAACCATGCACTTACCGGAGAGAGACAGAAAGCTAGAGAGAGAGCGAGAGAGCAAGAGAGAGAGAGAAAGCAAACTTCCAGATCTGGGACTTGAACCATACTTAGCCATGTGGGAGTCCAGTACCCCAACTGTCCACCACCTGCTGGCCTCTCTGACTCCTTTGTAATTGTCTGCGGTTTTTTTTTTTTTTTTTTTTTTGGATGGTTTTTTTTTGCTTTCGGGCACATGGGCTCGCCAGACAGAGAGAGACAGAGAGACAGAAAGCGAGAAAGGAAGCCATAGTGCCAACCACTACAGCTGAACCACCAAAGTTGAATTTTTACAAGAATCAAAATATAAAGAACCCAAGAAACTTATGAACAGAAGATATGCTTTTGCTGCTCTTAAGCCTTCTAACTGCCATATTCAGAACTGTGACTAGTGTCCCTATAAGTAGGCAGAAAGCAGAAGCCAGTTTTCTATGGCACTTAGGAAAGCTGGACTCTTGAAATGTTTACTGCTATTTTGGGACAGGGTCAATAAGCTAGAAAGTTATCTTTCCTTAAAGGTTTGTGTTGAGGGCAGCAGGTGGCTTAATGGTTACGTTGCTGGACTCCCAAGTAGCGGATGGTGCTTCAAGTTTGGAACTGGCGGTTTAAAACTCACGCCGGGCACCTGTGCACCGTCACGTGTGCATGCGCGTCCAAGATCCCTCCAAGAATGGAGAAGGGATTTTGGCGTGGCCACTTATCTCTGACGAGTGCCCGCTCACTATAGCAAAAATTTCTTTAAAAAAGAAAAAGTATCAGGAACCAGCAGTTAGGGCTCCAGGACGACTTGGCAGACAATCTGGGCTTATTGGATCACTAGCTGAAGAGACCACCCCTGTAGCTCTGCACTGCTCCCAGGAGGTCGCCCCTGTGACTTTCTGGCCGCCAGACGCCCTTCCAAAAGGGTGGGTAGAGTTTTGCAACCCTGCCCTCACCACCGAGGCCCTCATACTAGTTTGCGAAGAACAGAAGTAAGAGCGCTTCGGAAAAGTCCCTAATAATTTGCAGGCGGAGCGTGGGTCCAGCTGCGGGAGTCTGGCAATGACCCTTGAGGAGCCTCCAGGGCGCGCAGCCCCGCCACCTAGCGCCACTAGGAGGAAGTGCATGCCCAGTGTGCGGGCAGACAGGAGAGGCTGCGGCCCCTGTTGGAAGTTTCTAGACTTTGCTTTTATTTCTTAGTTTTATTATTTTTTTTTTTTTGAGAGATGTATGCTATAGGACGCGAGTGCTCAGTGGAGAAACAGAGAGATAAAAAGCAAGAACCCGGCAGGAGGGATGGTCATGCTGCAATCCCTTCTCCTCCATTCTCTTCTTGGGATCTTGGGCACGCACGCACACGCGCCCGGCATGAGTTTAAGCCACTGGGTCCGGGACTCGAACCACGGGTGACTGCGTGGGAGTCCAGTGACATAGTCATTACGCCAACTGCTGGTCCTGGCTTGCCTTCTTTTTTTAAAAAAGGTTTTTACCAAAGACTTGCCTGAGAGAGACAGTGAGAAGGAAAATGAGAAGCCACACTCCCTACCGCCCCAGGAGATGGCCACGCCACCATCCCTTCTCCATTCTCCTCTTGGGATTTTGGGCACACATGCCAATGCACCTGGTGTGATTTTCAAGCTGCCAAACCCAGGACTGCAAACCGTAGTCAGCCATGTGGGAGTCCAGCACCTTAACCACCATGCCACCTGCCGGCCCCATAGATGACAGTTTAAACTTAACTAAGATACAGAACGTTTGAAGCTGTGCTCGACACCTGCCTGATCAATTAAAACCCACAGAACCCACAGAAATAGCTCCACGCTTAGGCAACTGCTGGACCTGATGGATTGAAGACATGCAGTTTTATTGTGTCAATGACCCTGTTTCACTATAAGCCATTTTCTACAAAAGATTTCAAAAAGGAAAAGCCCGGGACCAGCAGTTAGCGTAATGGCTATGTCGCTGGACTCCCATGTAGTCGACCGTGGTTCGCGTCTCAGACCTGGGG